TTTTATACTCAACATGTCACCTGTCATTCGGGTGTGTTGTACATCAGCATTTTAATAGCACAACACAGTTCAGGGAAGCTTTGAAAATCTCCCTCTCTACACCTCCAATAATATGACTTCATCCTGTGATCATTGCTGCACAGATATGCTTATCCACCTCAAAGCCTTCCACCTCATCTTTTATCCTCTGAAAGGTAACTCTTTGTATGTGATTGAACTATGTTAATTCATACCTTTTTTTTGCATAATAGCCCTTTTATCTTTCTGCTTCACAGTGAAATTTCCTTCTTTGTTGAGTTTGTTGTTAATATATTATGATCTCACATTGTTTAATATTGCATTATTCTCTCATTTTCAACAATATATACAGTAACTGAGAATTATTGTTCATACGAAACTAGTTCATTATACAGTGATATCTAGTATAGTAGTGAGGGCTTCTGCATGTTCTTCTCAATATTGAAATGGACTCTGTCATATTGTTATTCTACTTTCTCCTCTTATCTTTTTGCCCATTTACATTTTTTTCCCCTATTTTACACCATCGAAGCGACTTTCTTCTCGCTTTTTGCTCCTTCCCTTTTATATCTGTCAGCTGGATAAGTATCATATGTAGTTTAATAGGATGATTTGTTGTTACGGAGTCATCTGTCACCAAAACTAAATGATGAAATGAGAGTGTGAAATGAGAGTGCGGCACTGTCTTGTCTTTTATGAATAATGCAGTGCATGGGTCAGGGGTCGCTGTTTTGGTTACAGTCCACAGCACAAACACGGACCTCAGGTAGTACACTCATCAGTCCTGCTGTTTCTCACCATATGGAGTCAATGAACTGGGACACCCCTCCTACACACACACACACACACACACACACACACACTTCACATGTGCCTGCAGATACAAATTCATAGAAGTACAGTACAACGATGAATAGATGCGTTTTATACTGTCCAAAATTGTCATATTGACTCTTCAAAATAACAGTGACTCATTTAATTATTCTTGCAAAATCATAGATAGATAGATAGATAGACAGACAGACAGACCAATAGATGGCATGTTTGCATGTGGCAGTATATAAGATTATGTAGATTAGATATAGATATATGAATCATTACCATAATAGAATAACCGAGGAAGACAGACTCCAGAGCCTGTCCCCATCTTATGGTCACAAAGTGAAACTGCTGCCTGAGAAAAAAAAGACCAAAAAATGAAATATTTAGAAACCTTGATACAATAATAAAATAAAAGCACAAATATACAGTGATCAACATTTCTTCCCTTTCTTCCTTTTTTCACGACGTTCAGTGTTTAATTGGATGAAACTATTCACAGACAAATTGAATTAGATGTTCCCGCCTCTGTGCAATTGAGATATCTGTTACAGATGATGTGCCGTATAATGAATGCCTAATTTATGTAATTAGACCATTAAGCATAATCCGAGCATATGTTGTAAATGCCCTGAGGTCTTCTTCCAGGTACTCCCTCTGATGTCACCCAGAAACAACTAATGGGACGGGCTGCTGCGAGGACTATAATCCCGCTGTTTGATAAAATAAACAATCAAAAAGAATACATTCACCATATTATGATTTTGAACATTGAGATCATGCTTTTCTTCAGATTTTTTTTCTGGTCAAAAATGAATATTCAAGAGGGCAGCGTGTGAAGATGGCCTTTAATTAGAGTGAATATTCCGTTATATGGGCTAAATTCGCTATTGAGGAGGTTATTGTGAGAGCCCTCTGTCTGCTAATTAATTGTCATTCTGCTGAATATTCATACCTTATCATCAGCGCGTCCTTAATTGCACCGTAAAACATCTCTGGGGGCTGAAATCACCACGGACTTAATTAGCAACACAGGCCTATTGGTTGGGTTGGAGAGTCACAGTTTGCAGCAGACAACAAACTACACCTGCTTTCACTGAACGTGTGTTTTAACGACGAGGCCAGGTAGCAAATCCCTCTAAATCTACAGGCTTGCTCGCGATAATGCGCATGACAAAAATAGAAAATTGCGGTCATTTAAACTCGTAATTCAGTGGTAGTATAAATGTTTGTTTTATAGATGCGAATTTGTTCACGTCTAGCGATGATTTGTCTATTTATTGGTTGATTAGTGGCCTAGATAAATATTGCCTGCAGTCAGCAACAATCACGCTCTGTAGAACTTGAAATGGGAAAGTATAAAAAAAAAAAAAAAACAGATATCACCACAAAATAATTTATTATGCGTCCATAAAATCTAGAACTACATGTACAAAGAGCTTAAATAAAAGTTGGAAATTAAATTTGTATTCTTTTTTTATTTTTTTTATTATTTCATATTAATTTTCCAACTTTGGCTCAACCCTTGAATACATGTTTTGTTTTGTAATAACCCTCATCTTTAAATTTCTCTTAATTGTTCCCTGAAAGGCAGATTC